ATAATGAAAGATATAATTGACTGAATACATCAAAATGGATTTCTATTCGGACAACCCTTTCTGAGCGCTGATTGGCTAAAATACGAACACGAGATCACCTGGTTTGCATAATTCGATATAGTCGATATTATCGGTATTTTTTTCGATAACGATGTATCGGTTTTTTTTTCAATATCGCAACTGCCTAATATCTACCGTATAAATACAGTATATAAAAGTATCTATTTAAAAAAATAGGATAAGAATCTATTTCAAAAAAATAAGATAAGTACCTATTTCAAAAAAATATGATACAGTAACTATTTATATCTATTTTAAAGACCATGTAAAGTCCGTTCTGCGCATACATTCTGCGAGGCTTACATTCCAATGGTCGGGGGATCCGACCGTTGGAATGTTATTAATATTTTGTATCTTTTGAACTTTCTTAAAAATTCAGTATAATATATATCTAATATATTACAACTCTAGCACTGAGTTCAAAATGTAAACAAAGTGTTTGTTTACACTACGGACTTGACGTGGTCTTTAATTAAAAATAAAGGCTCAAAAAAAAAATGAGAGCAAGCATTATTGGACTGGTGCGTAATGTATTCATCGCTGCTGAACATGGTTGGTCCGTCCTTGTTTTATCTATAATAGAGAAAGTAATAAAAACATTTATTGTGAAGAAGTAATATAAGTTTGCATAATGCTCCTGTAATTGTGCAAAGAATGTACATGTACTGTATCGGAAATGAGAAAGCGTTGATCATACTGGTTTACAAAATCGTGGTGTGTCCTCAAAACAAGAAAGTTATCTATAATGCACGTATCTACCTTCTGCAGGAGTAGTTGGTGTAATGTCGGTGCTGTTTTTCACTGCTCCTCCTGCACTCTTGGTGGGACTAGAGTTGATGGCAGTGGAGTTGATGGCAGTGGTGTTGGTGGCAGTAATGTTGGTGGGATTTGGCGATGACTGCTCAGTAGTGATTCCACCTAACATGTTCCATAAATTGTTCGTATTCAGATAAATTGTAGATACAATATTTAATGACCTAGCTAATATAATTATATTAAATAACTGTCATGAACATGATGTCATGTTAACAGTATTTGTTGTTGAATTGTATCATGCACTTAGGTAATGATAATCTTGTGACCTTGATAAGTAATTGTTGTTAGTGATCAAATTAATTTATATTATTTTTTTGTGTTATAGCAGACAATGGGAAGCTCTTGCAAACACTCGTAACCCATGTTGTAAACATGAATTCTACATACACATTTACATGCCAAGTTTATTCTTGTCAGTTCATACCAACCTCTATCTACTGCTTTTAGTATCTCTTTCTGACCACTGCCTCCTGGAACACCACAATTCACGCTTCTGTCGAACTCACACAGCATGTTAATGCAAGATTTGTATTTCATGCCATTGTGGACAATGACACTGGCATGGCCTGAAGTGGAATTGACCAGTAGCTTACATTCTTCATTGCGATTGTCATTCAATTTCCACACTGACATTATGCAAATGTACACTGGCTTGTTGTCACATGTTGCCATTATTTTCCAATAGTTGTAATTCTTTCTTAAGTTTTCAGTGATGCAGGTTACCACCATATCGCTATTTTTGAAATACATTTCACAGTCCGTGATGGAACACACTATAATTGTGGAAAATGGCATCATCAGTTATATAGCACAACTGAATTTCTTACTTAATTAAAGTTCTAATTAAAGAGACCAGTGACCAAATTTGAGGGTCTGTGTAAAAAAAAACTGGTCTCATTAGTTGAGGTTCCTACTAAATTGACGAATATAATTTTACAAGCCATTTTGTCTTGTCATTGCCAGACATTTGTAAACTTCCTTACATGAGATCATTGAGATGTATCAGAGTAGTATGTTATTAATTACCTCGACCTTTCGGTACAAGATGTACAAAGGAGGAATTCCGGACTTCTGGCTCAGCAAAAACTCTTTGATTTGAAACTAACAAAAACAAAACATGAAAAGATCAGGATGGTTCGTAAATAAGTCAAATAAGGAATACAATCATGTAGTTCGTGCATATACTACTCGCTAAACTATTATATTAACACTTTTAACACTGACCCGATAAAAAAAATATTGCTGCAAACAAAATGACGAAAATGTAGATACCAACTCTTGAAAATCTACGGAACTAAATATATAAGAGAAATAATAAGAGAATGAAAGCAGGAAGAAACATTTGGTACTATTTTATCAACAGAAATAGAAAATACCGGTATTACTATAATATATTGTATTGTCGTGAGAGTTGTCCCGACCACCACGTGCGCATTCTGAGGGAAATCCCCGGAAGTTACGGAATGCTAGTTATGCAAATAATAATTCGTAAATTCGAAGCGAAAAAAATGTTGACAAAATAACTCTGTATTTTCTCGGGGGAAAATACTACTCGGTATTTCCCAACCCGGGGAAAATACCGAGTTATTGGACAATTCACTAAGTTACTAGCACATGAATAATAGTGATTTCTAAGCATAAATTCGTTGATATTTGTGGAGATTTCTATACAAACTGGACTTTGAAATACGCTTAGTCATGAAAAATATATTTAGTTCTATTACATCTGTAAATCAGAAACCTAGGTATAATCCTTCACTTCAGTGTCCCAAGGAACGCTGTTATCAGTATTGCAATAATTCAGTAACTCCGAATAACATTTTGATTTTTAATCGACGTTTCGACTAGTTTATATCATCCTCAGGATTAAGAATAGTGTAGTATTGCAAGATTCACAAGACACGCGAAGTTGAACTTTCCGCTCGCGTTCCCAGCCAAAACACCGTCTGAGTGACGCATGTTGTCATTTTAGCAAGTTGTTTCGGATGATGTTATTTTAACAAGTCGCCTTCCCAAGGCCAAGCACATACAAATAAAACAGACTAACAATCAATATACTGTTAAGAGAAACAGCCCTGTTACAAATACTAAATATTGCCATAGACAAGGTATACTATGAAATTTTTAAAATAGTCTCAATTATTAAATTGTTTGGGTTAATAAAGTAAAGATTAAAGTAAAAACTAACCCTCATGCCGAATGTATCTTTTGTAGCGTGATGTCGTGCTGTCTTTTCTCAGTTTGTTTATACACCCACATGAATTGATGTCTTTAGAGATTGTGCAAGTTTGGCAGTATGAACATCGGCATTGATTCACTGTGACGTCACCCAGGGCCCAGGGTATTTTATATTTGATTCTTGCATTGTGTAATACCTATATTTAGAGGATTGAAAATGCATGACGTAAGCACTTCTAGAGATCAAACTGGATCTTTTTTGTCTTACTAAATCTTGCCAAAATCGCACGAAATTGGTAAGAAAAGGTCTGGAACGAGTGGCGATTGAGAATATAATCTAGATGAACCATATAGTTAATATAATGAGATGAACGAACATAATTCCTGCTGTGCAGCCATGTATGAAAAATGCTTTATTGTGTTATTACTTGGGCGACTATGTCGACCAAGTCATAAATTCGCTTTGTTTGTTTTCCCTCTGGTGTTGCGTTTTGTCCCCCATGATGCTTTGAGGCATGTGAGTCGCCCAAGTAAACGCCAACCAGGCGTCTTATTCTCTATTCAAACCCTTCATTGATATCAATGTTATTCAAACCCAGTGTTATTCAAACCCTTCATTGATATCAGTCTTACACTCAGTGGACCTTCAGGTAAACTGCCTATCTTTTTCTTGAAGCCAAATCTTGACCCCCTGGGGAGCCACGAAATATGATGGGGTTGGGATTGGATTAGGTTGCGTGACCCGCAAGCAAATAAACGCCTGCAAAAGCAAAATATTTGGGTTAAAATTCGGCTTCATGTGAGCACTTTAAGAATGGTCGAGCTGATTAAACTTACATGTTATATGATAAGTCGTACCTGAGTCAGCACTATGACGTTTTCTTCTACCTTGCTGTAACGCCTTTTGTGCCATTGCTAATTGTGGTCTGCCACAGGGTGGGTTATGATAATCCGCAAACACAAGTAAGGATGATTGGAATGGAACGAATAAATGTTAGAGTGAATCCCAAACACTTACACATATTGTACAAAACGTCTGCTACCAGTGGGCAATATTCCTCATAGATCGGGTAAAAGGCCCGTAAAACCTGCTGGCTAAACAATGTCGAGGCCCAGAAAGGCTGACATGCGAATGTTAAGATGTCTAAGATAGATGAAGATGTAAGGTGGTCGACATTGCAGTGACAGTGAGGGAAATAAGGCTGAAATGGTACGAGACAGCAGGTTGAAAATAAATGCTAATATAGAAAGTGATGGATAGGTGGTCTGTGTGATTGAAGATCCAGGAAGGAAAACAAGAGACAGAA